GTACCACTAGCAGCAAGTGATGGTGGGTGTGGTGATGGTGTTAGTGGTGCTGGTGCTGGTGCTGGTGCTGGTGCTGGTGCTGGTGCTGGTGCTGGTGCTGGCGCTGGCGCTGGCGCTGGCGCTGGTGCTGGTGCTGGTGCTGGTGCTGGTGCTGGTGCTGGTGCTGGTGCTGGTGCTGGTCGTAGTAGTCGTCGTCGTCGTCGTCGTCGTCGCGCTGGTGGTAGTAGTAGTGGCAGCAGTAGTAGTCGTAGTAGTAGCAGATGCAGCAGAGGTAGCGGCAGCGGTGGCAGCAGCCGTAGCAGAAGCGGTAGCAGCAGCAGCAGCAGCAGTGGGTAGTCTTCACCGGAGTGCTGGAAATAGTTGCTGATGTCGTTGTGATTCTTGTGGTTGCTTTTGGTGCTTCTGCGGCACTTGCTATTGCCTGTGATGCTGCCGCTGTTGTTGAAAGGTGTGTTGCTGCTCCTGCTGCTATTGCTCTTGTTGCTGCTGTTGTGGTTGTTCTTCTGCTGCTGCTGCTGCTGCTGCTGCTGCTGCTGCTGCTGCTGCTGCTGCTGCTGCTGCTGCTGCTGCTGCTGCTTGGCTTCTTGTTGTGGTGGTTGCTCCTGATTCTGCTGCTGTTGCTGCTGTTGTTGATGTTGTTGCCGTTGTTGATGCTCCTGCTGGTGTTGATGTTGTTGTTCTTGTTATTGTTCGTGTTGCTGTTACTGTTCTGTTGGTGTTGTTGTTGGTGGTGTTGGTGGTGGTGGTGGTGGCGGTGGTGGCGGTGCTGCTGTCGGTGTTGTTGGCAGCTGGTGCATCTGCCGCCGCGAAGGGTGGAGCGATTTCAAGGCTGGAATGCTTTAAAACTCGAGTTTTGGCACATGGCCGTCTGGACATGCATGTCGTATCGGTTTTTACAGTGATTTCCTGACAAAAAACATGTTCCATTTCAGGGCTGGACTATGCTGAAACTCGACTTTTCATACATGCAGTTTGAACTTCTAATCTACAATCATCCATGGCTTCTCCGTTTCCGTTTTTGCTTGCAAGTCGGCTGCTTTCTTCTTAGGACTTGCTGCGTCTGTGTATCTTTTGTTTCCGTGCTAGGGTGAGGGGGGGGGTGGGCTGATAACGTCCATGATAATGTGAACGAATGCGGCTTGTACTAGTGTTTCGATTTTGCTCCGTGCAGGGGTGGGGAGGGGGGGATGGGGGGCGGGGGGGCCTGATAACTTCCACACCATCTCTTCTTCTTCCACAGCGCTCTGACGTCCGAATGTCATGGCTGAGCAGGTGGCATATCACAGAAATGACCGCCACAACACGTGAAGCACAACCTCCTACAGCGCACGACAGCACAGCATAAGCTGTAACGCCGCCACTGGAGACAGCAAGGACTCAAGGCCCGACTAGAGTCTACTGCACGAGAGTCTTGCACCCCGCCCCTTGGAAAAGCATGGCTTGCGCATGCCCCGTGTACAACTCAGTGCTCGTGCCCGTCAGTCGTCTTGGACGACCTTCGCAAGCTTGTCAACAAGATCCTGTAGTTCTCTGTCGTTCCCGCTTCGTGGTGCCTGGCCTCGCTTGATCTTCCCAACGGCGCGACACATCGCACGCAGCAAGGCATCAAGTACCGGGCACAGCTCAGCGCACACGGCCAGGTGGACTTTGTTCACACGTTTGTCATAGCACTGCTTGACCTTGGCGATAAACACCTTGTCCGTGAGATCGGCCACTGACCTCACTCCATTGAAATGTGCAATCAGAACGTCCCGATCTTGCTGTGACATGGCCGTATCCTCCACTGCAACCTTGATCAGAGCTGCCCAGCTTGCGGCTCACCCAGTTCGTCGATTGCTTTGTTGTTGCGTGTCTCTCTGGCGTCCTTGGCCTTTTCAGCGAAGGAGCGTGTAGCTTCCTGCGCCTCACTGATGAACGAGGAGTCCTTGCCCATTACGATGGTCTTGAACGTAGCCGATTGGAGCTCGTTTATCTCCAGGCTGTGTCGGAGCGACAACTACGAAACCAGACCCACTACACGTTTGGTTCGACAACATGTGCGGTAATGCATGTGAGCAACTCATCCATGCTGTCATGCTCATGCTGGCAAAAAGGGCAGCATAAACTCTCAGGCACCACAGCAAACACGGTGTTGGAACCTTTGCCTGTGCATCGTCGCTTGCGCAGGGCTCGCTGTATGTGTTGTTGCGCCACCCGCTTTGTTGCAAAAATATGTCTACACCAAGGGCACACATTTGCAACTGTGGCCTGCCTAGCAAGCGAGGGCTGGCCATGTGTGCCTGTTTTTGTGCTTGTCTTATGTACAACAAGACGCTGCCACGAGGCAAATGATGCTTCGCAAGGAGTGCCATCATCACGCAAACAGTCACACTTGTGCGGCCTGTCGACTTCAACCGGGTCTGGAGGTGCAGGTATGGGGGAATCAACAAACTCAGGTGGTGGGATTGCAACAGATAAGAACTGCCGTCGCAGCACACTGCAGTCAATGGCCACAAACGCGTCTCGAAGCAAGCTGAACGCCAGCAACACGCGACCATCAAGCTCTGCCACAAGGTCTCTACCATCATCGCAGCCTCCCAAGGCCTCAAGGTCTTCCTGGAACTGCCTCGCCCAAGGATTGGCATGTGGCGTGAGCCTGCCTGCATCATCTGTGGTAGGCCTTGTTTCAAACACCAACTTGCCAAAAACAGCTTGCGGCTTGCATCTAGCGCTTCTCTTTTTGATTCCAAGGTCATGGTTGCCTTGAATGCGATGAGGATGCTGAGGATGATGATGATGATGCTGATGCTGATGATCATGATGACGACTGTCACGAGAATGCTGATGCTTCTGGCTAGGATGATTTTGGTATGTATGATGATTCTGATGTTGGTTTTGTTTTCTTTCCATGTTGTTGATTTTTCATGCGGAGGATAACGATGGCGATGTCGATGACCATGATGATAAAAAAAGACAATGACTATGTTGCTCCCTGTTGCTGCTGTTTTCATGCTCCTTGTCAATCGCTCCCAATACAAAAATCTCGCGTTTCGTGGAATCTCCAAACAATAACCTTGAAAAACTGCGCAAAACTCAAGCAAAGAACACAACAACTCTCAAGGTAGAAAAAAACAAAATTATGGAACAGCGAAGGGACAAAACATCATCTTGTTCAAAACAAACACAAAACTCGAGGTTAAAATCAGACTTTTGACAAAAAATCCTCCAAAAATGAACGACACACCCTTCGCGGCGGCAGATGTGACGCCTACCTTTTTGTTGTTGTTGTTGTTGGTGGTGGTGGTGGTGGTGGTGGTGGCGGCGGCGACGGTGTCGTCGTCGTTGGTGTTGTTGTTGTTGTGGTTGTGGTTGTGCATGCTGCTGCTGTCATTGGCATTACTCTTAGTCTTGTTCTTAATGTGATTCTTCGTTGTGTTCGTTGTTCGGCTACTGCTGTGACGACGACCAGCACTGCGACCACTACCACGACTTTGATAACGACGACGCAGATTACTTCGACTCCATCTCCTTTTACGAAGCGAATAGGGATCAGTCGACTCATGGCTATCACAATTCGTACTGCTGATGAACACCTGCCTGTTTGATGCCATGTCACCTGCAGGACGAAGATCGCAAAGAGTTGCGACGACAGTTGGCTGTCAACTGCATCATCATCTAGATCATGATGCAGAGTGATTGACTGCCCCGGGTAGGCGTTATAGATTAGCTGGACGTGAACACATCCACAGCCTCCATAAGAATCCCGTTAGATCCAGAAACACCAAGACTTGGGAGTCTTCTCCTCTCTGCCATTTTCAGCAGCATGTAGTACTCTACGAAGGAAGTTGCTGGCAACCTTGAGACATGCTCACGGGCTGCAAGTTCAGTCGGTAGAATGACCCCAAGCTCGAACCCCAAAGCAGGAAAATTCCAAGGTGCAGACCCCTTCACTCATCTGGGAATCTTTCGATTTGGAGTTAAGTCTGGGCTGTTGGCTGCAGATTTTGACACAACCCGAGGGGTTTCTAAATCGGGGAATCAGGGGGCTTTGATGGAACGCAGTTTTTCGGTCTCTGATGGCTTCCGATTCCAATCTCCGAGGTGCAGGCTGGATGCTTCAGGGAGCCTCAAGTCAATGACTCCTCTCAGGTTTCGGCGAGGTGTGCGCCTCTGCCTTACGATTTTTGTCAGACGCACCGGGCCCAGAGGGCCGAGTCGAAGGCTAACGCTCGGGGCCCAGAGTGGCCCGAAGGCTGTTCCCCCCCCCCTGGAAGGTGTCAGGGACCGATTCGCGAGACATCAGCTCTTGGGCTCCGTGCCCTCGCTGGGCTGCCGATCTGCAGAGTTCCTGAGTGACCGAACCCAAACCCTACAGTTTAATCACGCGGCTTTGTAAGGCCTGAAATAGGCGTTGTACAGGGCTTATGAAAGAAATGTTTCCTAGCCGGATCTTTGGGCTCAAGTGTTTGGTGCACGGTAAGTTGCAGAAGATGCGGGGCCTCCTAAACTTGAAGAGTGCGAGCAGAGCTACAAAATCAAAGAGCCCTTCCACAGAAGCAGAGACCTGTAAAGTCGAGTTGCCACGGCCTCGTGCCAAAGCTCCATTCTAATCAAGGACCTGACGGCGCGATTGTAGCCTCGGCCAAAGACTTTCGGGTGAAACCGTCTGTTTGTGGCTCTGCCCCAAAATCACGTTTGAACTGGATCTCCGGTTGCGAGATATGGACCGGGGAAAGCACTCACGCGTTGTATCTAGCATGGGCTGACGGGAGTGCTCAAGGTCCGGGCCTTTGAAAAACGATATCAAAGGTTCGGGGGTTTCTGGCGTGCAACCCCTGGAGTTTGAAAATTGACCTTGGGGCACAAGCGCTCGGCTTGAAAGGCCTCAGAGCCTGCTACAAGACCGTCTGTTCTGCGGATGAAGGCTGAACTTCTCTTCCTGCAGCCTGGTCAAGATTCTACACTCAACGGGGTTCTTGCCTGATCTCGTGGGAAAAAAGGACGAAAGGAAGCCAACCGTT